ATCATACCCGCTGTATCGAACGAACATGCGTAGATGGTGATCGTAAATACCTGCAAGTAGGGCCTTTGCCCATATCAATGACCTTCCAAATCCGGCGCGGGCGAAGCACCGGGCTGGTCACCGAATCGGCTCCGAAGATCCACGATTGCCGACTCATCGCCTCATTGGGTTCCACTCTGATGTTTCCCCGCCGCGCTTATCTCCAGTGCTCAGAGTTGTCCCCTTTAGTTCTCAACGATGCATGAGTCAATTTCTGCGGTTGATGGTCGGTGATTAGTATTTCTATCCTCAACCTTCTTTCAATCAACAAGACCAACGTGGACAACGTTCAGAAATGGGCTATGCAGTCAACCCGGAGGACTTGCCGGTTCCTGGCCGAGACACCTACTTTTGGCTCGGGGAGATCAATAAGGCTAGCACTGTGATTAATTCAGATGAAGGACTCCTCGAGCTAGATGTCGCCCGACGCATCGCTCACGGTCTCCAAAAGATGCTCGAATCTGGCAATCAGCCAAATGCCCCGCGCCCGAGCCTTGTCATTACATTTGAGCCCTTGCTCATTGAAGCAGCAGGCGTCGAAGCAACGCTTCTTCATGCTGGACGCTCGAGCCAGGACATGCTCACGACGGCTTCCACTACCATCACCCGCGATGCCGTACTGAAGCTAGCCTCGCAACTGCATGCGACCACTCGTCGCTTGCTTATCTTGGCTGAGACTCACAAATCGACACTTGTGCCAAACTACACCAACGGCGTCGCTGCGCAGCCAAATACATACGGTCACTATCTTCTTGGGCACATAGCTGGGTTTCACCGGGACGCGGAACGTTTACAGCAGTTTTATGCCAGACTTGATCGATGTGCGATGGGAACCACGGTTCTAAATGGAACAAGTTGGCCTCTCAACCGCGAGCGCATGGCGAAGTACCTGGGCTTTCCAGCTCCTGTCGACAACGCATATGATGCAGCTCAAATCTCAGCAGCTGAGTGGCCCGTTGAGATTGGATCAATAGTATCTCAAATCGCCCTCCATGCAAGCGCCTACATCCAAGACGTGATGGTGCAATATGCCCAGCCAAAGCCATGGATTCTTTTACAGGAAGGCGGAGAAAACACATACGTCTCAAGCGCGATGCCACAAAAGAGAAATCCAGGGCTACTCATCAGAACTCGAGCCGAGGCTTCGAGAGTGATTAGCTTGGGTGTGGGCAGAGCAATTCAGGGTCATAATCTTCCTCCTGGCATGTTTGATGCCAAGGACTTGGGGGATAACTTGGCTGTCGTCAACGGTGCAACCGGTGTTCTCGGTGATTTGCATCGTATTCTCGATGCTCTAGTCATCGACGGCGAGAGATCTCTGAAGGAGTTGGATCTAGATTGGACCGCATCTCAAGAGCTGGCCGACATTCTTATGCGCGAGCACAAGGTCCCTTTCCGCGTCGGACACCACTTCGCTTCAGAAGTTGTGAGATACGCAAAGTCAAACGACTTGTATCCTAGTAACTTCTCATACGCCGAGGCCTCAAGGGTATTCGCCGAGACGTTGGCGCATACAAATCTTGCCAACGAGGGCTATCGATTCTTGAGCGAGCAAGAGTTCCGCGAAGCTCTTGATCCAGCAGGTATCATCAAGCGCCGTGCAACTTCCGGTGGCCCTCAGCCTCAGGAGATGGAACGCATGATCAGTTGTTCTCAAAGAACTCTTGATCATCTTGAATGCTGGGTGCAGGAACGCAAGTCACATATTGAGAATCATTTGGGGGAGCTGAACGCAGCGTTCCAAACTCTGCTTCAGTAACAGAAGGTCAATAATCGTAGAACGCCAACGATTAGTGCCTCATACTTCTTCAAGAGACCGCCTGTTCGCCTGTGCTAGAGAGACTGCTTTTACTATGGGTTCATATAAAGTTGCCATTGCGCCCTTATCGTCGGCGTCGTCGTCAGCGCCTCTATCTTTATTATTCAATCTACTATCATCCTCAACCGGATCAAGTCAGTACACAGTAAATGTGGCACGTATATTGGAAATTTGGGCTCTCTCTTCTTCAATCTTTTCCAGTCTAACTGAGAACCTTGGCTCGCTTAAGACCGGTCATGACCCCGTCCACATCCATGCTTAGAGCTTGCTTTTGATTCGCTTGCTCGGACTGAGACATTGCAACAGTTCCGATTCAGCGGTGAGAGGCACACTTAATCTATCTGTAGAAAAAATGTCGGAAATTGCAAGATGACAGGCTAGTCAGAGGGGCACGAGAAGAAAGAAGTCGATTCAGTGTGACAAGAAAGCAACCTTAATGGCACCCGCGGTGGACGCGAGTTGACGCTATCAGGAGAGTTCATAGCGGACTTCGAAAAGGAAGCAAGCGTCAACCCGATCGCAAGGTTGATGTCAGAGCCTTAGAATACTTCCAGTCTCCCAATTTGAGGGGAGTGTTATTCTCGGAATGCTGGGTCATGTTTTATCGACTCTAGCTTCCGAGAACGTCATCCATATTTCCACAGTACCATCGCGGGGTCAGCACTAGCCAACCCGGATCTTCGGCGACCCACCCGGAGCCGATACCGAACGTGTCAAGCGATATGATGATAAGTAGCGTTCCATCCGTAAACTTGAGGAGGAGCCGTCGGAATTCCTTCTGCGTGAGCGATACAGCCCTTGGCGTAAGCACCTTGTGGAACTCGGCCACCGGCACTTCAGATACGTCCAAATGATGGGAGATTTACCCCAAAGTGCACTAGCCGCCATGGTGTGATACCCGCATTGTGCCGTATCTGCCCCCGCAAATTGCCGCGGCCAAACGTTCAGGTGTATGTATCTAGCTTGCGGCCTCGACGGGAAGATCATGGTTGATAATTCCTTATTAGATCCACGCTGCACTACACTAAATCTCTACCCCAGTCGGACGAAACTCACATATCGAGTTTAGTCGAAAGAATCTGAGTGCAACCCACCTTTCGTGATCAGGCAAACGTAGCAGGGTAAGTCATATATCTAGGGCCGCCTGGGACCGCATTCCCAAGACATTGGGTTCGGGACGTTCAATACCAAAGATCATCACTCACCATGCGTCTCTCAGTAGCGTCAGTCACAACATTGCTCGCGATGGCTTCCGCCGCCAACTTGACGAGCTACTCGTATGGCTCCAACGTTCTCCAGTCCTACGAGGTCTACATCCCGCCATCCTCGGACGCGACCACGGCTTGCGACAAGCACTGGATCGTCTGGATCCACGGCGGCTTCTACCGCGACTTCACCAACAACGCCACATCCTCAATCGAACCCGTCATCGCATCACTTGAGGCTAACAACTCCGATGTTGTTGCGAACCAGATTGCCGGCATCGCCTCATTGAACTACCGTCTATCCGCCCTCCCAGGCGTCCAGCCCAACAACACCCCGCCAAATGAGCTGCAGAATGCTAGATGGCCAGACCACTTGAGCGATGCCATCGCAGCGATCAAGGACCTCGGCAAGCGCTACCCCATTGATGGAAAGTACATCATCAGCGGTCACTCCGTCGGCGCGCAGATTTCATTCTTTTCAATCTTGGAAACCTTGAAGGACCCTTCCATCCCCAAGCCTGCTGCTGTTTTGGGCGTCAGCGGGATCTACGACTATCCTCTCCTTCACGTTAGCAACCCCGAATACGACACCTTGGTTCTCAACGCTTTGAGGGAGGACCAGCTGGCTGAGGCAAGCCCGGCCAAGGTCGATGCTGAGAAGTATGCCTCGATCGATCTCAAGGCATTTGTTGTGGCTCACAGCAGGAATGATGGACTGGTTCCGTGGGATCAGGTAGAGGCCATTGAGGCGACGCTGGGTAGCGTGCCTGGGCTGAAGAATAAGGCGACACTTGTGGAGCTGGACGGCCAACACAATGAGATTTGGAAAGGAGGCATGCAGTTGGCGAAGGCTTTCACAGACACATTAGCGCTACTAGAGTAGAAAGAAACCACTCAACGGTGGTATTTATATCATGCAGGTTCTATTTGTAATGAGCAATCGGCAGAAACTTCGATAATAGGTAGGTATGGTTTTTAAGGCTCTCAAAGTCTTTCCTCAACCTTAATCTTACTCCATGGAAATGAGCAACGACCTTGACGGGTTGCATTTTCCACGGTTGTGGAAGGCCTCGCACCTGCTTTCCCACCGTTTCCATTGACCACGGCGGCAGAACTGTATCTGATACAATATTACTGTGGATCAATTTTCTTGAAGACTCAGAAGTTTCGGCTGACCACTAAAGCAAATTCAAAACTGTCAAAATCTTTGGTCATCGCCAATGGAAGTAAGACCAGAAATAATATGTTGATAATGCAGGGTGATCGTAAAACATGAATTTCGTTTCCAATGCCGCAATACACAAGTCTAGCGACAGACGTAGGGAGAGCGATATGCGTCCAAGTGATACAGACACTTTAGTCACAGAATGAAAGCTGTTTGACTTGCAGTCACACGAGATACGGCAACATGCTCCGAATTCTAGAATTAGCGAGCTGAAGCCTACTCCCAGCCAGACGTCCCATATTCACAGATTGCCAGTGCATCTTGGATTCAGGAGTTTTACTTTTCGAGCGAACTGTGGAACGCAGACTACGACAAGGAAGACTAAGAACCACGATGATCAGAATACTAAATACAGGCGATAGGGTCAATGACAAGGACAACGAGGAGAGTTATGCATGTGTGGTGACATAGTCCGGCCTATCTTGGCGTTTTCCACGTGACTCACTTTCAGAAACTTCATGTGCATATGCGGAGATAATATGATTGGTGTTGTTGCCTGCGGGCTTACTATCGAGAGGCATCCCACACCACATTATGTAACATCTGCGTCCTCTCCGGAATTGGATCAGGCTGCCGCCCTCCCCCCTTTTCCCCTCTCGCCGGACCAAATCTCTTCCTCCATAGACTCTAGTCTGAAGGCTTTGCTTCGGCGTCATGTTTCAGCTCTCTTCATCCCCTTCATACATTTGATTCCACAGCGAAAGTATATTCAATGCCGGAGCTCGATCGCAAGCTCTACACAGTGGCATGGATTGCCCCTCTTTACATCGAGGCTAGGGCAGCTTTACTCATGCTGGATCAGAGGCATCCTGGACAATTCCCAATTCCTCGGGGGTGCGGTTACGTTTTCCACGCGGGTAGCATAGGCGGACACAATGTGATAATCGCTACGCTGCCTGCTGGTCAGGAATACGGTACCGCTTCAGCAGCAGTTCTCGCTGCTCAGGTGCAGAGTTTCTTTCCCAACCTGTGGTTCGGGCTGCTCGTGGGCGTTGCTGCTGGCCTACCAAATCTTTCCTGCCAGCCACCGCGAGATATCAGACTCGGAGATGTGCTGGTTGCCTTACCTCTTGGCGACACCCCGGCTATAGTTCCGTATGACTTAGGGAAAGACATAGGTGGCGATGAGTTTCTACTCCTGCGTCGTGGTCACACGATGGCTCAAACCCAAACGATTGTCAGGTCTGCAATTAGGAGAATCCAGCTCGACGGTTCTGATGAATCTGAGTCATTTCTCCAGTATTACCAACAGATACGTGACAAGACGCACGATGGTGGTGATTTCAGCGACCCCGGTCAAGATAAAGACGTAATTTACGAATCTGACCAGCAAGGAATTGAGCGCAGAGTCACGAGGGAGCCTCGTTCAGATCGAGGCCGTACCAGAGTTTGGTACGGACCAATTGGCTCAGGTGACAAGCTGATGCGAAATTCTCGGCGTAGGAATGAGCTCAGGGATAAATACAACATCATTGGGCTTGAGATGGAAGCGGCTGGGACGATGAATTGCATCCCTGTTGGCGTCATTCGCGGCGTTTGCGATTACGGGGACGAGCACAAGAACAAAGAATGGCAACCGTATGCTGCAGCTATGGCAGCAGCATACGCCAAGTCTGTTCTCCGAACAATAGTTCCCGAGGATCGAGAGAGACTCTCTCTCATGAATATCGGCAAGTTCTCCTATGATATTAGTAGCCCAGAGACACTGATACTAATTTGTAAAAAGCAGAAGACACGGGGGTAGAAGATGTCAACAGAATCCAGGAAACCCACGTTCTGAACAGACTTTTTCACTTGACTCCGTTATCATCGGACCAGCAACTACATCGCAGAGACACACAGACCGCAAGTCTCGAACATTCATCCGCAATGGTATCTCTGCCCAGTAGGCGTTCAACCAATCCGTCTAATGGAGCTGCGGTCATTCCCCCATCAGGTATACTTCCATCCTACTTGCCTTTCTCAACGAAACACTTCGGCCTTTCTCGGGGGCTAATGTTTTGTACAGGTTATAGCCCTTGTGCATGTGCCACTGAGCAGTTCAACGAAAACAACCGAGCGGCCCAGCTTATCTGTGAAGTATCTTGACCGCCAGGACACTCCATCTCAACTTTTAACAGACTGTGATACTTGGCATACGCCTGGTAGAAGTATCCCTTGGAAAGTCGTTATATATGGGCTTTCTGGTGTGGGAAAGAGTCAAATGTGTTTGAATGCAATCACAAGGCATGAACGAAGGTCAGTTCACGCACAGACGACTCCGCACTTATTTCGGGTTAACAAGAAATGGATTAGATATCGAGGGGTCTACTACGTCGATGCCAGCAGCAAAGTCACTGCAGACAGCAACTTTACAGATATATCTCGAGTATGCCAAGTTCAGCATCACTGGGAGGGTATCCCCCCAGACGAACAGATACGCATTACAAGAGAATGTCTTGCTAGTCATAAAGATCCCTGGCTCTTGATGATAGACAACGCAGACTCAAGAGACTTCAATTTGGACACCTACATACCCACGGCAGGGCCTGGCACAATTCTTATCACAACGACCGACGAGGGATTCGCGACATACGGACATGCATCACACAGGGTTGGCAGTATGAGTGAAGATGAGGCTATCAGTCTTCTCTTAAAGTATACGAACCCAGACAATGGTCATTCCAATGATCAATACCCCTCAGCTGACAAGTCGGCCAAAAGGCTTGCCACGGAAGTCCTTTGTGGTTTACCGCTAGCCATAGCTCAAGCCGGCTCCTATATATCCTACCACCGTTCCACGTACGACGAATATCTCGAGGAATTTGGCAAATGTCCCAGGGATCTGCTCAATGAAGATCGTCATCTGATGCAACGCCACCATCAACATCTGCCAGTATGGTCTACTCTAGCTCTATCAATTGGTAGGATCGAGAAGCTTCAAGACAGAGGATCTACTGAAGCCATTGAGCTGTTGAGAACTATGAGCTTTCTTCATAACGAAGGGATCCATGACCACCTATTTCGGGAGGCTTGGAAAAACATGAAGAAGTTTCCATCGCTGTCAAAATATGTGACCTTCCTCAATCCATCAACATCTCGCTGGAACACACCTACCATCCAGGCCGCCTTCGCTATCCTCCGTCGCTACAGCCTGATCACCCCAGTTTCATTGTCCAAACAACAGTATTCGATGCATAAAATTGTTCAAACAATATGCAGAGAGCTTTTGACACCGACCGAACAACTCGAATATTCTTTCAAGGCTGCTTCTTTGACGGCAGTAGCGTTGTCCGGCATTGAGACTCCTCTATCCTGGATAGACGATCCTAGTGGTTTCGACTCACAGAAGCTTGTGTTACCTCACATTAAAGCATGCATTTTCGGTCGACTTGACACCATCTTCCAAAGTTGTGATTTTTTCATAGCGGCAAATTTTCTTCTGATATTCGCCAAAGCCCATTCAGCAACGGGTGATTATACATATGCCCAGTGCCTTTTAGAAAAGGGATTGGAGATCGTCACGACCGACACGGGGTACCACATTGGCTGCAGATCCATTGCGCTGAAATTAATGGAGCACCGAGCTACGTGTGAGGCTTGCCTCGGAAAGCATTCTCTCGCATGCGAAACTCGTCAAGGCATATTGATGATTTTGGAGGAAGAATACGCCAACTCAGACGACGAGTGCGTTGCTTTTATGAATCTTGCAGACAGTCATTGGGCCTTGGGTGATCATCAACTTGCTCTTCGAGTGTCTGAAATGTGTTTGGAATTCCGCGAACAGAGTTTGTCGGCGGAAGACCCACGGCTATCTCGGACGCGACGCAAGGTTGCCGAATTCTCACACTTGTTGAACGACAAAAGGCGCGCCCTCCAACTGAGGGAACTGGTGTTTCAAATCGCAGCTGAGAAGACCGACCGAACGGACGTCGAGACACTTGACTTTTTGTCAACAAAATCGGCCTTGGCAGACAGTTACCACTGGGAAGGTCGCCATCTAGTCGCCCGGAAACTCCGTCAAGAGGTGTATGAGGGAAGAGAGAAACTACTCGGCTCCGAGCACCCAGAAACATTGCTGGCGCACGACAGATGTCTGCTCACACAAGGTATCTTGACAAATATTCAGGAAGAGCAACAAGAAATATGTCAGCAATGGCAAAATTCAGTCAAATGCTGGGAGCGCACATTTGGGCGGTTTCATCCTTACACCATGGAGGCTACGGCCCAATTGGGTCGCAGCTACATCAAAATTCAAAAGTTTGGGGAAGCTCTTGATGCACAGAAAAAAGTCCTAATTGCCCGGCAAGATGAGTACGAGAAGGACGCCGAGTTAGAAAATGCCAATATATGGGCTTATCTCTCATCCATGGACGACATTGCGAACCTGTACAGCGAAATAGACGAACTTCTTCCGAACGCCCTTAATATGAGGAAGAAAGTTGTCCGCCTTGCCCGAGATCACTTTGGCTACCTCCACTCGGTCACCTTCAAGGCGCTTAACAAGCTACTTAACTGCGAGGCTGCTTTTCCCGACCGCGCCTGTCGTGAAATACAAGAAAGACGGGGAAAGCTTTTGGCAGACCAAAAGGCTTTTTTTCAGGCAGACGACCCAATCATCCTGAAGACCTTGTCGTTTTTGGCGGACGACTTCGAAATCTCTGGTCAGATTGCCAGGGCCGTCGAGATACGCAGAGACCTGTTGGCCAGTCAAAATGCCTTGCTGGGCCCGGAAAATCGGGAGACTGTCGACAACATCAAAAGACTGGCGCTGCTTTTACCACGTCTTCAGAACGTTGACTCGCCATATGAAGAAGCCATTGATCTCTTAGAAGGAGTAAAAAATGTCCAAGAGAGACTGCTGGGACCGACGAACTTCCAGCTTTTAGACACGCAGACGCATTTATGCACAATGCAAAGGCAACTGCAGCACGGCACGTTGGATTCATTCTCGAGACCCGATACTTTGATTCCCAATCAGCAAGACCAGGCTCTCTCAGTGGCTGGAACTCAACCTGCAACGAGTGAGCACAGTTCCATGGCTCGCGAAACATCTCACACTTGGTCATCACTTTCGCCGACAAACTCCACAAAATATGACTGGATCAGACAAACTGTGGCGAAGGCCCGTCAGAAGGTTCCTCTCGTGAGTGATCAGTCCGCATTTCCAGATGAAACAAACTCACTAGTGCTGTAGAGGTTTTATAACGATTCAGTTGATGAAGGAGGCTTCCAACTAGGACACAGATCATGGAGAGAATTTGGGTCTGAAGTGAGCTTAATGTCGGGCAATGATAGATCTTATAAATCTAGGATGTCTTCGCATGAAGTGCCCATAGACCTGGACGATGATTCTAATGGATCTAGAGAATCTGAGGTTGGAGAGAGCACTGGGGCGGACCACGATTCTTACTTGCCTCGGCGTGAGGTGCATCGTCCAGGACGAGAGCTTTCACGGCCTAGAAGAATCAGACGAAAGCCGTCGCGAGTGACGAGGATAATTAAGAAGCTTGAAAAGGATTTCAAAGAAATAAAAGACTGGTTTTAATCTGACATATTGGAATAAGCCCTGCTTGATACACTTTTTTGGTTCCACATCATAGGTTTATTCATAAAGATCGTACAATATATTTCGCCAAACACAACTCGCAACCGCTCAAGTACTCTCCTTCCCCTTCTGCTTCTTCTCATTCTCCAAAAACGACACCACAGCCCTCCGGATGCCCTCCTCATTCCCGACGGCCGGCTCCCACCCAAGCCTTTCCTTCGCCTTATCAATAACATACCACCGACTCATACACGCAAACCGCACAATCGTCCGATTCAAAGGGGACACCTCCCCCTTGAACCAATAAAACCACTCCATAGCCCACGCATACGCCAGTGCCATGTTCAAACTCACGACCTTCACATCCTCAATCTTAGTCTCATCACCGGCAGCCTTCCACATCGTCCTGCTAAAATCCCAAAACTTCATCGGCGGCCCGTTGGTGATGAAGAAGGCCTCACCCGCGACCCCCTCAGGAGCCGTCAGGAGCTTGTCCGACGCAGCAATGTGCGCGTCCGCCGCGTTGCCAACATACGTCGTCGAGAAGAGGTTCGAGTTATCCCCCAGCTGTACTTTATTCCTCCCCAAACGGTAATTGCGCATCAAGTTCGGCGTGATATCGTTGTCCCTCTCACCGTGCACCGCCGCCGGACGGAGGGTACACGTCCGCATGCCGTTGGGGTCGTCATACTCCAGCGTCATCTTATCCGAAGCAGCCTGTCACACCATCGTCAGCAACCTCCCTACTTTTCCTCGCCCCTCTCTCAAGTAACACAAGCAACAAGAACACACCTTCGTCTTGGGATAGATCAACGTATCATCCCCCTCCTCCGCCAACCCCAACCCCTCATCCCCGGCCACAATATCCCGAAACATCTCCTTCTGCACCACACTTGCACTACTCGTCGTCACAAACGCCTTCACGCCCACCTTCCTGCCAGCCTCCAGCACATTCCGCGTGCCGTCCACATTAATCGCCCGCACGAACTCGTCCGCCATAGCCTTCCGCCCGACCGTCATCATCCCCGCGCAGTGGAAGACGACCGTCGGGCACACCTCGTTGACGATCCGCGTCACGTCGTCCGCCGAGGCGACGTCGCCCGCGTGGTACGTGGCGCGGGGGAAGGTGTTGGTCGTCGGGTTGCGCGAGAGCACGGCCACGCGCGCGGAGGGGTACTTTTGGAGCAGCTTCTCGACGATGTGCGAGCCGATGAAGCCGCAGCCGCCGGTGACGAGGTATGTTTCTTCGGCCATTCTTTGTGTGTTTGTGCCGGAAACTTGGGGATGGCGTTTGGTGGTGTTTGGGGGCGGGAGCTCTAGGATTCCGGTGGTATGCGTGCTTGCTTTTTATTCCCCAACATGCGTCTCGACTAAACTTTCCGCGGGAGGGACACACGGAGGTACAGATGAGGTGGAAAACGTGGCCAGCTCTTATTCAAAATCCTCCGCCGATCATCCAATTATCCTTCCGAATCGACCATTGATAAACAGGGGCTCTGAGACGGGCGCGCGTCAGCAGAATCTGATATAAGCGCTTGCGAGCCCTGACACTCGGATCGTTCTGCCGGACAGGTCGTCAAGATATGCTCCCTCGCACCAAAGTCCCTGGTACCCCTGATACAGGCCAGCCCTTGCTGTTTCCGAGCCTGAGCAGTAGTATTTCTACGCTGCTGCTGCTGCCTGTCTATCGGGAGCTCTTGACGAGCTTCTGCAGACTGGTGTTAAATAACCAATTCGTCGTCCCAGACTTCCCAGAAATCCTTCGCGAAGCCAATTGTGGGAAAATGGCGTTCATCCCAAACCCCTTAACCCCATCCGGCCGTTCCGCAAACTATCAGCCATAATGTCAGCACTAACTCCTCCTCCCTTGCCGACTTATCAAATAATCGCAGACCAAAGTCCAAATCATATTATCCAAAGAACCTCGCTACCGTTACTCTGTGTGATGTGATGCAGTGCCCAGCACGTGATAATCAGCTCATGCACACCTCGTAAAAAGCTTACAAACCACCGAAGACTCCGAAAACCAATATCCAACTCCAATTGCTGTCAAAGATAGCTTCGTCCAATGATTGGTGGACCCCGGGGACTAGTGCTTAATCAGACGAAGGAACCGGCGGCGGCGGAGGACGTTTACGCGGGCGGCCGGGGATAATGCACGATAAAAGAGAAGAAAGGCAAGTCCGATTGCAAAGTTTACCAGGCATGGCTGTTCGAGGAGGGGACATTCTGGGTGAGGTGGTAGAAAGCTTATCACCTGTGCCGCGTGGGTTGGCGGGGTTACATCATAGGTTAGGTATCAGACTTTTGACAACTGGTCTGCGGTCGGGAAGCAGATCAATTGAAGAGTGAAGACCGACCCAATCCTAGATTGATAAGCGAACATTTCAGCCCATTCATGTCAGTCGTCACGACGACAGTAGCATTGCATCAATTCACACAAGAAGCAGGGGCAGACATATAACGCAAGAGAACGCAGCTGGTTGGAATATGTAAACCCTTCCATCTACAAAAGGCCCCCTTTCACTCCGCCGTATCCACAGCCCACCGATACACGCCTGACGATGCATTTCCGACGACGAAAGACCCCGGTCTGACCCCCTCCGTTTCTCGTGTGGTTGGGTTTTTTGTAGAATGAGTGAACATCGCCTCCGGCCCCCAAAAAGACCTTCCACCCCCTGCCTGGTCCTCCGAGTCGCGAAAACGCAAGTATCGCAATCCTAAACTCCGGCACAAGAGATTCCCTGAACGCACAAATTACCGAGAGAAAACCCCGTCTACCGGCCTTGCCCCTGGCTTCCTGATCCAAAATCCGGTTCCGGGTGCGCCTTCTTGTCCTTCCTCGCCTTGATGACGAACTCGGCCATGA